GCCAGGAGATGCGCCCAGGTTCGAGCCATTGTTGCCGTCAGACTCTGGCTCGATCGACGCGTCGATGCGCCCGCGAAAGAAACCCCGGACCGAGCGTAGCTGGTTCGTGCGCGCGCGGCTTTCCTTCAGCGTCGCCAGGGCCTGTGCGTACTCTGGGCCATTCTGAACGATGGCCTCGTCAATGCCGTCACAGAGGTAGAAGGCGTCCTCGGCGGTAACAGCCTCCTCGTAGTGGCAGGCGTCCACGTGCTCGCTGTGGTAAGCGCAGTACTCGGGGCTCTCCTCCTCCTCCTCCTCCTCCTCCGCGTAGGCGGGTCAGGTAGCCCTCGTCGTAGGCCTCGTCCAAATACGCCAGCAAGGAATCGATGTCGGTCGGGCGCTCCAGGTCTTCGGCCCCATCATCGGCCAAGTGAAACCATCGTCCACGCCGTTGGCGGTCAACACCGCCGCCGCCGCGGGAGGAGGATCCGTGAGGATACAGATTCCGCAGCATCTCTGAGATCGGGTCCGGGTCAAACGTCTGGCCACACTGTCCCAGCACGCATCGCCGTTCTTCGTGGTCCAGTCCACTCTTCTTGAACATCCAATAGCCGAGCTCGTGATCCGACACCTTCGCCGGGCAATCTGCCCTCTCGAGCTCACCTTTGGCCACGATCATGTTGGCCAGGTACGTGCTCATCGGTTCTCGCCGTGGTTGCGCCTGAACCGCACCGTGTCATAGAACTTGTCGTAAACCCGGGGGAGCTTCTTCAACTGGCTGTCTGTGGAACGTCTCTTCTCTAAGAATTTTAGGAAGGTATCATGGCCGTCAGCCTTGGCCAAGGTCTTCACATCCAACGTCTCGACTAGCAAAGACAACTCGCTTTCATATGCCAGCATGTTCCGGTAGAGGGTGGGGCCGACGGAGGACCTCTGCTCGTCGCTCGTCTTCTCGAGGGAGAAAGCCGTAACGAGCTGCCTGTAGCGCTTGAAGTCGGCCGAGGTCGTGCCTGTCATGACCGGAACTTTGGGATCAACTCCGTGTGGAAGATACGTCTGTGTCGCCATCGTAAACCTAGCTAGGGTCGTCTGCCGTGGATCAAGCACCGGAGAGCCACTCCAATGCTCCGCTACCATAGTGAAACCAGTGAGGTTTCTCTCTGATAGTGTCGTAGCACAAACAATATCCCGCTCAACCACCAGCCCACTGCATGGAAATGAGGATGGATACTTTCTCAGCCGGACTCAAGGCGCCTGGAAATCAGTTCGAGCCGCACATCAACGTGCACACAACGGAGCAGCACACCACTACAGGGATGTTTTAGGGGCGCCGTGCAACAGGGATGCTTTAGGGGCGCCGTGCTGCTCCATATCACATAACGGATGCATCACTGATACACTCTCTAGAGCAAACAACTCGTCGCTCCAGGATCACACGGAATTCACTCTAAACTTGCCGAGCGTGGACAACATACTTTAAGGTGCCCAAGCTTTGCTCCGGGTCCGACGCGGTTTGTTCCGTTCCACCTGGGCGCCTCGGCAATGGTGATCACCTTGCAACAGTGCCACCCCCAGAACAACCGCCACTTGGATAATCAGACCAACTGGATCGTCGTGTGGTGCCGACAGGCTGATGGCTTTCGAAGTCGACCCTTCGCGTTCGAGACGCAAGTGCGCGCGTGGCCCTTGGGTTTCGGGGGGCCCTCGCAGCCGACGTTCAGCGCCGAGGGAGGGCCCATGCTTGATCAAGCCACGCACCTTCCACAGAAAACCGTGGCACCAGCACGTCTCAAGCGGTGTTCCTTGTATCCGACAGCCTCGCCTAACCAGCGCGACTGTGCAGCTTCATTAAAGTTAGGTAGGGCATGTCCTCCTACAGGCGGATTTAAAAAGCAAAATCAACAATAATCAAACAATAATCAAACATAGTCAAAATTGATTGCAAAATCGTGCCCAGACTATGTTCTAGCACTGTTTGAATATTCCTCCTATAGAGGGACATGCCCGACGTAACATTAACGGGGGGGGGCAACATGTAGCCAGCCTCGCGATCTATGCAATCTGCCGCTTGCGATGCCGCAAAAACCACCGCTGACAGGAAGACTCGGCACGCCCCGAAATTGCAGATGCGCAACTCAGCTCTGAATTCGTCGATGAAGCACAGCGTGATTCGGGGATGGACAGAACCCTCTTTAGCAAAACGTGGTTTAGTGAAAACGACCTCGGGCCCAAACCGGGCGGGCGCAAGCCTGGAAAATGACGGCCGCGGCGCAATCTCGAGAACCGAAAATGGACAATTCACTAATCAACGTGTCAGGGTGGGGGCCCTGTCCACCCCCTGTTCTTCTCTTCTTCGACACATGGTGAGCAACCTCCTGGTGGCGCCGAAGCTCAGCCCATGAAAAGCCGCGTGCGCAAAAGGCCCACCCCGCGCAGAGGCGCGCCCCCACGAGCGAACCAGTCAGCCCGTGCGTGGCAGAGCACACAATGTGCTGAACGCCTGCCCCGCCACCATGCGTTCCGCACCGGGCTGCTCTCATGTATTGCTCTCCCCTGGGTTATTCGCCCCTATCGTCGCATCTGATGCTCTGAGCGGGCCCAGTTCTTCCTTGCCCCTCCCCTGGGCCGGCGCCTATTGTCCTCCTCCCTCCCCCTCTGTGTGGTGGCTGAATTCGCCAGCGCAGTACCTCCGCCTGGCCGCCGACGCAAAAAAGACAATGCGGAACGCCTGCTCCCCCGCGCACCGCACGGGCACCCAAAGTCGAAGAAAGAAATGCATACAAATGATGCTAACGGAATTCCCCACATAAGGATGTTAGGGGTTACATGGCTTCTTGTCTGCCACCCGCCCTCGCCTTCTCCATCTTCTTCTATCATCCCCCTCCGCCTCCTCTGTCTCCTCTTCGTCGTTGTGCGCCTCCCCCATCATCATCACTCTTTTGCTCCTCGTCTTCCTTGTCCTCGTTCTCCTCCTCCTTCTCCTCATCCTCCTGAAAAATAGTATGGTATTCGAATACCCTGCTCGCTCAGGCGGGGCCTCCCTGGAGGGGTGGGAGGGGTACGAAGCCGGATACATAACATGGTATTCGAATACCCTGTTTGCTCAGGCGGGGCCTCCCTGGAGGGGTGGGAGGGGCACGAAGCCTGATAAATAGTATGGTATTCGAATACCCTGTTCGCTCAGGCGGGGCCTCCCTGGAGGGGTGGGAGGGGCACGAAACCTGATAAGTAGTATGGTATTCGAATACCCTGCTCGCTCAGGCGGGGCATCCCCGGAGGGGTGGGATGGGCACGAAACCTAATACATAATATGGTACTCGAATACCCTGCTCGCTCACGCGGTGCCTCCCTGGAGGGGTGGGAGGGGCACGAAGCCTGACAAATAGTATGGTATTCGAATACCCTGTTCGCTCAGGCGGGGCCTCCTTGGAGGGGTGGGAGGGGCACGAAGCCTGATAAATAATATGGTATTCGAATACCCTGTTCGCTCAGGCGGGGCCTCCCTGGAGGGGTGGGAGGGGCACGAAGCCTGATAAATAGTATGGTATTCGAATACCCTGCTCGCTCAGGCGGGGCCTCCTTGGAGGGGTGGGAGGGGCACGAAGCCTGATAAATAATATGGTATTCGAATACCCTGTTCGCTCAGGCGGGGCCTCCCTGGAGGGGTGGGAGGGGCACGAAGCCTGATAAATAGTATGGTATTCGAATACCCTGTTCGCTCAGGCGGGGCCTCCCTGGAGGGGTGGGAGGGGCACGAAGCCTGGTAAATAGTATGGTATTCGAATACCCTGCTCGCTCACGCGGGGCCTCCCTGGAGGGGTGGGAGTGGCACGAAGCCTGATAAATAATATGGTATTCGAATACCCTGCTCGCTCACGCGGGGCCTCCCTGGAGGGGTGGGAGGGGCACGAAACCTGACAAGTGGCACGCGTGCCCTGGCTCTTGCACAAAGGCATCCGAGGCTCAGGGGGGCTGCCCTGGGAAGCCTGGGCGGGGGGGGGTGGCGGGGGCAGGGGGGGGGCAGGGGGACGAACGACACGACACGACACGAAAATAAAGGCGTCCGAGGCTCAGGGGGGCTGCCCTGGGAAGCCTGGGCGGGGGGGGGGCAGGGGGACGAACGACACGACACGACACGAAAATAAAGGTGTCCGAGGCCCAGGGGGGCTGCACTGGGGAGCTTGGACGGGGCGGGGCAGGGGGGGGGGGCAGGGGGACGAACGACACGACACGACACGAAAATAAAGATGTCCGAGCTCTAGAGCACAGCTGTGCAAGAGAATAAATAATATGGGATTCGAATACCCTGTTCGCTCAGGCGGGGCCTCCTTGGAGGGGTGGGAGGGGCACGAAACCTCATAAATAGTATGGCATTCGAACAACCTGCTCGCTCAGGCGGGGCCTCCCTGGAGGTGTGGGAAGGTATAGTATGGTGTGGAAGGTATGGTATTGTATGGCAGCTATGGTATGGTATGGTATGGAAGGTATGGAATGGTAGCTATGATGTGGTAGGTATGGTTATGGTATTGTACGGATGGTGCGGAAAAGGGAACGGGAGGTGGGAAGGTGGGAAGGTGGGAAGGAGAGGGTGTTCTGGGAAAAAAGGAACCCCACTCAGGATGTGGGGAATGAACTTGTTTGGGCGCCCGAAATGGGCACGGACAAACATGGGTACAACGCCTGACAACAAATGTTGTCCAACATCGACAGCGGCCGCTATTGGGCAGGCGACCTTCTGTCTCAAATGGACAACGTCCGCGGATGCGCGGACAGCGAGTCCTGTTCAAAATGAACAAGACATGCTGTTGGGCATCGTACCCAGACTTCCCGTACTCATTTCGATCATCCCGAACTTGTGGCGCTCCGCGCGGATTTCTTGGATCCGCGCTGGGCCCCCCCCGGAGGCGCGTCTGGCGCCGCCCCTGGCGCGCTCCGCGCGGCAGGGAGGGGGGGTCCAGCGCAGGTCCAAGAAATCTGCGCGAAGCGCCAAAAGCTTATGTGTATGCAGCCTTTTCTTCTTCTGCAGAAACAAATCAGGCCGCCTCCCCACCGCCGCGTCCTTTATCTGCGTCCGACTGGGTTCGTGGGCGACTGGGGCCGACTCCAGCCTCGCATCCCGAGAATTGCTCCCCTCACAGAGCGAGTGCAGGTCAGCGCACGCATTTTTTGAATGACCCAGCTAACGAAAGGCCACCAGCACTGCGAACCGTTCCGCCCCTGGAAGGGGGGCCGCGCGCCCCTCGCGAAACGCCAGCCTTACTCACCCTGACGAGCGTCCAGCCTTATGGTCGGGGAGTTCCGACCAGGAAGATATTCCCTTGGGGAATAAAAATACTCCCAGTGATATCGTCTTAGAGGTTTTGAAATCTCATCGTGTATTTCAGCGCTTCCCAAATCCAGATAATTAATATATCACCCCCGCGGCCGTCGTAGCTTCGACGCGGTGCGCTGTCGGGCGCACCGCGCCAGCATACCTGCGTGCCCTTCGGGGGTGGGTGGGGGCCACGCAATGGCACGTCGTTGCGCGGGCGCCACCAGCACCCAGCACTCCTCTCTCCTCGCCCCCGTCGTCGCCCGCCGCCCTCCCTTCGCCGGTCCCCTCCTCCTTCCCGTGGCCATGTCCATTACTCTCCCTCCTTCGGACTGCTTGCCTCCCGTATCATCGTTACTCGTCCTCCTCCGACCCGCCCGCCTGCCCCCCCCCATTTCCCCGCTCTCCACGCCGTTCCCCGCTGCGCCCAATCCACCCCCCCATCCACTCCCCGCCCCCCAGGAGGGAACAGGCAAACGACGACGGCGGCGGCGGCGAAGAGGGAGGGGGGGGGGGCCCGCCAATCGACGCGCCCACGAGCGCCGTGGATTCGCGCGATCAAGCGGCGACGTCTGCAACGTGCCTTTTCGGTCCCCCCCACAGGGAATGGGCGCGAAACGCAGAGGGCCCGCTCGGCCGCGCAAGTCCGCGAAGCGTGGGGGCGGGCCGAATGCTGGGGCCCCCTCTCCACGCGCGCCGTTGCCCGTCGTCGCTCGCGGCGGCGGGCGCGGGAGGCGGGGGGGGGCCGGTGCGCGAGGGGCAATGGCGCAGGAGGTGGGCGGGGGGAAGGAAGGGGGGGGGGGGGGGAATTGCCAAACAGCGCGATCGCGCACTGAAGCGTGTTCGGGCACGCGGTTCGCGGCCAGGGGGCACCTGGCGCTGGCCCCAGACTACGCGCGCGCGCGCGCGCGCATCGGCCGCCGGCGCAAGGGCATCGGCGAGGCGCGTCCTCGAGCTGGGGCCGCCTGCGCGGCACTTGTCCGCGCCGCAGGAAAACCCGCCCGACCCGCAGGTGGTCACCAGCTGATCGGGATGTAAGTTGTTGCGTTTCGGGCCTCGTTCTGCCAGTGGGCTTACGCGCAGAAGGTAACTCCACGGGCGCGAGGTTTCGCTGGCGGGCGGCGCGCGGGGTGGATGAACGGGTGCGCGAGTTGATGTGCTGTGGGGTTGCAGCGCCCGCGGGTGGTCGCGCTGCGCTTGGCTCGTCGATTTGCAAGTGAGCCGCAGCGTTTCGGTCGACCCCCCGCGAGGTCGCCAACGAACCTCCCCCTCGAATATAACCGCCGCCTCGTAAACGCGCCCCTCACGCTCAACCCAGCGCCGACGCGCCCCCGACGCCGCGTGCACCCCGACGGGGAACGGCAACGTCGACGCGCGCGCATAGGGAGACGGCCGAGGGGCCGCTCCTATACGGGGTCCGCAGGTAGAGGCGATGAGTAGGACTCCTTTTCCAAGGCACTGCGCAGCAAGCAGTGCACTGCAGTCGATTAGCCAATGCCTGAGCCAATGCAGTTGCGGAAGAAGGGATATAACAGGGACGCGGGCGGACTTCGCGCACGCCCCCCGCCCCGAAACCTGCCAGCTCCCGATGGCCTCGGGCCCGCGGGAGACGACGGCAGCCGTCGGGAACAGAGGTGCAAGATCCACTCGCAGCCCCATTCTATCCACCGCCCCCCCAAACAAGGGCGCACCGGCTAGGGGGGGTGAGAGAGGGGGCCAACCCCGTCACGCGGGGCACTTGGGAGCGCCTGCCCGACTTCGCGGGCCTAGGGCGCGCCCCCCCGAAGCGCTTCGGCACTCCTGGGCGACGCTCCGCCGCCGCAGGTGACAGGGGTGGGAGAGCAAGTGACAGAGAGTAGAGAGGTGGCACTAGCATCCCTCGACGCAGGCGTTGCCACCGACGCGGCGCACGCGCTAGACGAAATGGATCGAAGTTGCGACGACATCTCGATCAAAGTAAAAGGATGGCTCTCTCTCACGGGGCACTCCAGACCCGAACGATTGTCGGGGCACTCCAGACCCAGGTGCGGGGGGAAACGAAGATATCACGGTAGTTGCGAGGACAACTCATCTCTGATAATATACCATGCATGCTATGAGGCACTCCAGGCTCCAGAGGTACTTTTAAAAACAAAACCAAGTATGATCATGGGGTAATGTTTTGCCTCGGTCGTGCGCTGACACCGCCCCATGATAACGTAGACGCCGATCTTATGCATACTACTACTGGCGGACAGCCTGCCTGGGCGCGTTCATTTCCGGCTGCCAGATTGTATCTTGTAAGACAAAATCAATGCCGATATACAGCGTAGTGTCAACTATCCAGACCCAATACCACAACTGTCAATGTGTCTCAGTATACAGATGGATGATAAACGGAATGGTATCGAACCAATTGCCAAATCGATTGTGGTAGACTGTGCGTCAATATACGCAGGAAGAATATTTCAATCGACACCTACGCATAATATGTCTCGCAGTAGCGCTCATCCCGAACACGATTTCCACAATCATTGAACCAACTGATGGGAATGGTCCTATAGTTGTCCCGTGACCATATGTACTCGGAATCGTCGACGTCGGCATAGATCCACTGGGACAGGAAGTACGACCAGCAACGATACGCATCGTGCTGGTAGCGCTGGAGGTCACGACGCCACCACGTGTAGACGTTGCGGTACTTGCGCACACCACTCCTGCTGCGGCCACGCTCAGCAGCGTTGTCGCGCCCCCGTCTTGGCGGTGCGATGGGGCGGCGCGACGTCGATGAAGGGGTAGCGCCACCAGTCCAGCCCGCGGCGTCGGCCCAGCCAGCGCCGCCAGGGGCATAGGCGGCTGACTAGAATGGGCCGCGAGAGCCGCCATCGCTGCAGCGAAGGTCGCTGCCGAAGCCGCGCGCTGAACCAATCGCGGTCGACGGGCTGAGCCAAGCGCGACGGCCACGGAAGAAATGCAGTGTTACCCACGAGTAGGGGCAGCGCACTGCGCTTGGAAGGACCATTCGCGAGATGAGTAACATGACCCGCGTGTCCCATGGGGGGGGGGGGGGGGGTCCCGCCTGAGACTTCCTCGCAATGCACACGTGGCTGTGTTGTGAGTGAATGAGTAAGTGGCGGTGATGGTGATGATGATGATTACGATGATGATGAGTGTGATGATGATGATGATGATGATGATCCCCTCCCCCCCGAACCGCCGCCGTGAAAAGGGCCCTGGCAAATCTGCTTCGCGCATGGACCCCCCCGCGCCCCCTTCGGCAACCTAGGCTCGAGCATTTGGAGCCGCGAAGATTCGCCCTGCGAAACAGAACCAGCCAGCGATGGTGGCCGCTGCCGCTCTTGAGCCGAGTGGGGCCCAGACATGGGACGAGGGGTTCTATGAAGCATCGCGGGCGGACTGCCCCGGGACATTGGCGCTCAAAGGCGGCGGGCAGCGAAGCGCGCCGCGGCGCAAGCGCGCGGCCGCCGCCGCCGCAGTTTCGGCGCATTGGACGCGCGCGCTGTGCTAGAAGAAGAAGGGCAGATTGAAGACGGTTACCAACGAGCACTTGGATTCTGCTGCGCACAAAGGCAGACTTGGAGAAGGAGATTTTTAAGTACAGCAGAAACATCAAGAGGGCTGAAGAAATGCACGCAGTCGAGATCGAGAAAGCGGCAAGGCCCGACAAGCATGGGGGGACCGGCTTCTCCCGAAGACGATAGCCTCGGCGGCGCAGGGTGGGGCGGCGCAGATCCGAAGAGGGGGGGGGGGGGGGGGGGCGCCAGCAAGCGCGGCGGCGGCGGCGGCAGCAGGTGCGGCGGAGGCGGGGGCGGAGGGCGGGAGCGGCGGCAGCAGCAGCCCCAACGGCCAACGCCTCCGCAGCGGCGGCAACAGGAGTCGGGCTCGGAGCGGCCATCGCGTCCGCAGGGGCGCCATCAGGAGCTTCATGGCCCAGCTTTGCCTCGGCGGCGGAGAAAAAGCAAGGCGCCGCATCGGGGGCGTCCTGGGTCTTGAACGCGGCGGCGGCGGCGTTGCCGAGCGTGGACCCAGTGGACCCCGCGCTTGATGTGAGCACGATGGTAAGGCAGAATGGCGACGCGATGAAGAGCTGAATCGCCAGCTTCAGCAAGGACGAGGAGAGGGCGGAGCTCGCCCTGCAGAAGGTGGACCAGGCTTTGAATGACACCGAGGCTTGTCTTGATGGATTGGATGGACCAGGTCGTGGCCCAGACGGGAAAATGCACGAGCTGGATAAGAAGCTGGACCAGGTCTTGCAGAAGACGGCAAAACTGGACGAGCTGGAGCTGAAGATGGACCAGGTCTTGAAGAAGAAGAATGAACAACTGGAAAAGCTGGAGTCCGTCATGGAAAAGCTGGAGTCCGCCCAGGAATAGCTCCAGCTGGACAGCAATGCGGCGGCGGCGGCGGCGAGCGGCGCTGGCCACACCGCGGGCCCTGCGCAGTCAGATGGAGACACCGAGTGGACGGCGCAGTGAGGAACCTGGGAGGAGGAGCATGACGACAAAGCGGGCGGCTGGAAGGGCTGGACGTAGAGCAGGCACCCGATGTATTATAATTGCCCTTGCCCGCGAATCGGGCCCTTAGCGCGTTGCCGCTGTGAAAAAAATGGTTACTCAAGCGCACTGCGCTGTCGCGCTGCCCCAGATTTCAAACTATACGTGCTAGGCGCATAGCGCTGTACATAGCAAGCGCATAGCGCTACGTCAGACTGCGCATTAAAAGCGCATGGCGCTGCGCCCGCACTCCAGATTCCAGACCAAAGCGCTGCGTCAGACAATCTGCTTTTCAAGCGCATAGCGCCGCGCTCCAACGAGGCGCCCCTAGCCGCGACGGAGCCGCAAGGTCTGCGCCGCGACGCAACCGACAGCCGTCCGCCCGGGAGGCCACGGCACTATACACAGAACATTCAAGCTGCAACATTCAGCGTCGTCGTCGTCGCTGTCGTCACCGTCCTCGTCGAGTTTGAGTCG